TCTACAAATTCAACGAATTTACGAGGACCGTCTCGTCGGCCGGTAAATTCGATGAATTTGTAGAACTGCGACCGAGTGGTGAAGTACAGATTGCCGTCGATGTAGCGAAATATCGACGTCACGCCTTTCGGTATTCCGGGAAACGTCGCCTCGAGGGGCGTGAATTTGGCGACTCTCTTGTCCTGGTCGCATTCGTCTATCTCGCCCACCGCGTTACCGTTGAACACCACGTAGAAACGTCCTCTGTGGGTGTTCACCACTCCGTTGATCAGCGCGTTTTCGGGAAATCCGAGTTCTTGCAGGGTCTTCGACCAACCTGGCCGCAGACTAAATTCCGGATATTGAACCAAGTATATCAAATTATCTACGAACACCGTGAGATCGCCGGACGGGGATTGATAGGCAGCGGTCACGCGCGTGTAATTGTCGTGAAAAAAGCTCATGTGATTCGAGAGGGCTAAAGGTCCGTTGTACGTCCTACCGTCCAGATCGACCGACCAAACGTAACGTTTGTACGAGATGTACATTCGATTTTCCAAAATCAATATCCCGTTCACGCGATCGAGGCTGCACAGGTCCGGCGACGGCGGCGGCAGTGGCGCCGGCGCTGGCGTCAGACGCGGCTTATCGTTCTGAATTTTTTCACCGTACAAACGTTGAATGTCAGCGATGTCGTTTTGGTCGAGATTCACCGGATACTGCTGGTCCGGCTGTATCGCGAACATCACCGATGTTGTGCGCCTGTTGTGCGGCAATCCGAGGGAGTGGCCGATCTCGTGCGTCAACGTGTAATGCAGGGAAAATTTATCCGCGGAATGTTTGTTGACGTAAATGTGCCACGGCTCGTCCCCGTCGACGTGCACCTCGGAAACGAATCCCGCTTGGTCCGTCGGGAGAGACGCGTGGGCGAGCACGTTGCCGGGGCCGTCGAATTTGTCCGAGCACAATGCTCCGTTTACCTCGATGTTCGTGTTATAGTGTAGTAGGCGTCGCCAAGATATTATAATGTCGGCGTTCGGCATTTCGGAGCGTTCGAACGTCAATGCCGAATGCTGCGACCACAGGTCGAACGCGGCCTGCGCCGTGCTACACTCGGTTTCGTCGGCTAAGTGAAAATGCCACGTCAGGTGCGTCTTCGGCCATTTGGACAGGCTCGCTTTCGTTCCGTGCTTCAGGATATCTCGGAAACCGCATCGCGGTTTACTCATGAATTTCAGCGTTTCTTTGTTGGGCGTTCCGTCGCCGGGTAAATCGTAGTAATTCTGAAACTC